TGCATTGTCATCTAAAAACTTGACAAAATCATCGCAATATTCACTAGGTTGTTTTCCGAACGAGTAAAAAAACTCGCCTTTTTGTTTACTTTTAAAGAAGAACGCCACCCAGTGCGTTCCGGGTTGACTACTATTATCTACATTAGCTATGAAAGCTGCTTGATAGCTCTTTACCTTATATGGTAATTCATCGGAGGGATAAACCCCGTAAAAATATCTCAAAGTTAATGGATCATCTTTAACTAATTTTAAAATCTGTTTTGTATCCATTTCTTAATAATCTATTAGCACGTTTCTCGATTTATCAATTTCTATAATATTCTCAAATTCAGCATAAACTATTACATTCACAGTATGTGGTAACGGTTGGGCAAATTTTATTTCTAATCTAAGATTTCCTTGACGGACGAGGTTAAAGTGAGCCTTGTTAGATGAGAGGTCTGGGGATAGGTCAAAAGCAAATAACGTGTAACCGTGAGCGAAATCTTCTCTGTTAATGAGGTGTCCCTTGTTCTCGAAAAGATCGTTTAAACCAGTAAATAGTGTATGGTAAACTAACATATAGCTATCATCCGCTCCATCCTGTCCGAAAACTGGCTGAATCCACGGATGAGTTTCTCCGTCCAAGTGCAACGCTACAAAGTTTGTTTCGTAATGATGAAAATTAAACGGGTTAAGCTGATAAGAGCCATTAAATGCTTCGGTAGAAACTAGACCCACAATCAAACGAGAAGGTTGAATGCCGTTGAATAGAGACTCTCTCGTAAATGATAAATTTCCTGTTGGTATCGTAAGCGTCTTCACTTCTACTCTTCTAACAGGGTATTTTGCTGTACCGTGTTCCAGTGCCTTTGCGTGCGCAATAGCTATAGAGGGGTTAACTTTAACTTTACGTACTAATATAGAAGCATCTTCCACGTGAACCTTGTATCCAACTTGAGTAGAGGACATTAAGCAGAATGGATTTTTACTTCGATGAAGTTTCACTTTAACATCAACGCCATTCAGCATCATACGATCTTGAAAGAATATGTCACAATGGATGGGTCCTACAAGGTCTATCAATCGGCTTTTTTTGGAAAATTTGTGTCGTTTTGTCAAACCTAAATTAGATTCATTGAGAGCGGCAAACGGATTGTTTGAGTCCATGC